CAATTAAGGAAGAAAATTATACTACAGTGAAAATATTTTGGCATAGGCAATGCAAAACTGGCAAATTAGTGTCACGGAGTATTTCTATTTCTGCTAGTCACAAAACACTTCTGTAAAATAGTTTTCAATTTTTTTTAATCTCCAAGTTCATCAGGGGATTTACATGTATATTTAGCTTTAATATGTGATCATCTTATATGTAATGCCATTCATTTATACAGGAATTGTCCTATGCTGGAGCATGTCTTTCTTCCATCCACTTTTACTCGTCCTTTCTGATGGAAAAGTTTCTAATGGTTATAGTATAAATGTGAATTGACCAGAGAAATTTGTTATTAAGACCTTTACCTTATTTTTTTAATGAAGAGAAAGGTTTTTCAGTGGATAAAAGTATAATAAGAATTTGAAATCGGTAATAAAATATATTAATAACAGATTGAATTATTTGATCTATTTAACTGTTACCTGTGAGTAATGTCTGTGAGACAGACTACATGGGCAGCATTTCCACTGTGAGTCCCAGGAAGGTTTCCCTGCCCCCTGTTCCTGTATGCTCTCAAATACTTACTTATGAAGCATGAAAACAGCACCTTCCTCTCATTTCCTCTGGTTCTCCACAAGGACCAGAAGGGACAAACTCACCTTTCCTGTGCTGCTGAAGAACAAGACTGCAGGGCTCACCACTGAGCACAGTTTTCTTCCATCAGGGTATAACTTTTCCCTGTTTAAAACCTTCCTTCACTTTTTAGCTAATGTAATACATGTAGCTATAACTACTGATCATATTTTGCAGCATATGAAGACAATCTCTTGACCACAAAAATGAAATAAGTAGTCAAATCTGTGAGAATTAGTTTCGACATTTTTAATAATGTCATACAGTTAATTGATAAATTAAACTTTAACAGACATTTCAGCAAGAGACTTAGGATAATTTTCCAAATATCTGAAAAATACTTTGGATTGGTTTGTAGTTAATATTATAAGGCAAATGAAGTTCAGAACCATAAAGAAAAGTCTTCAGTGAAGAGAGAGATATTTTTGTTGTTTCAGGACATTGCTAACCAACCTTGCCAATGTGTTGTTAAAACACACCAGCATGAATATTTGGACCTTTCAGAAATGCGTTATGTCATCTGTAGATAAACACACTGTGTTGTGTTTTCTGTTACAGACCTTTTTGCCTGTGGCACTAGAACTGCTTCCAAATGCAATACAGCTCTTTAAATGCAGACAGAGTATTTTTTATTCTTGCTCCTTACCATACTATTAGTTGTTTCTTATGTATTTTGTGTCAAGCAAGTAATTGAAAGCATGTTACCAAGGCTGCTTTCTCTGACTCCAGCCATACCAAATGCATAGTCTATGCAAGTTTTCTTCTGTATTTAGAGGATCCAACCACTGCTAGAATTCTCTTGTCATGGTCATATTTTGAAGAAAAGTTATTGCTGATTTCTTATGAAATTATTACTTAAAAAATTGTCTCTTCAGTGCCTGGGATTTAAAAATTTTCTGCACTTACTAAAAAACTTCCTGTGCCTCAGAACACCATCCTTGACACATTGTACCTTAGCCAAACAGCCCCAATACTATAAAATCTAATATGGGTATTAGAAGACGAGGCCTGCTCAGAAATGCTTTCTCCATTAACACTGATGTTAAGTGTTAATATGCGATTAAGGCTTGCATATTAGTCTGTTTAAAGATTAGAACTAAGCAATGCAGTGCCCACCCCACTGGGGAGCATCCTCCAGATGGTACATTCAGCAAGGATCTCCTCATGGCAGGAGGTACCTCTGCATCAGTTCTGGTCTGCCCAGTCCCAGGGCAGCGCAGTATTTGGACATTGGAAAAACTCCTACCTTTTACCTAATTTTCTCTACATTGCAAACAGGAAAATTAATTCCCTTTTAGCCATGCTTGGCAAGGAGTAGGTCCCCTACATCTGTCACCAGGCTTTGCTAGCTGCTGTCAGCTGTTCCTTCACATAGCTCCCCAACACTGTGAGGGTGGCCAAGAGTGTTTAGAAAGAGGGCACGGGCAAGACTTAGGCACTGATTACTTTAGGTGAGGGAATTTGTAATTTCTTTCATAATATCTTCCCATTCTTTAGTAATGGAAAGATATCATGAAGAGGAGGAAGGCGCATGGACCTGGCACTCTCTGGGGCAAAAAGACAAAAATGTTTTATTGAGGAATGACTCACACTTTTTCACTAGTCAAGCAAAGCACCTAGCTCTATCTACTCAAGCTAATTAAGTTGAAAAAATGCTTTAGAGAAAATAAACTTGGCAAAAGCGTAACTTTGAAACCATCTGCTCTGACCATGTACACTATTATTCCAGACATTTGTACCTTGAAAGAAACCACCTGAAACCTTGAGAATGCTTTTTTCTAAAGGAGGAGTACATTCTGTTGCTCTTCTTTAAGGCTATTTTCAAGATCCTTACAGCAGGAAAAAATTTTCTTGTCTTTCACAACAGTCAGAGGCAGCTTCACTGCTGGTGTCTGGTAGGCAAATTTGTCTCTACTAAAGACTCTGACATTTCATTAATGTACACCAGGTTTGAATGTGGCTGGAGTAATCAATTCTGACAAGATCCAGACATATATAGAAAGATGCATGCTGACTCTCATTTCATTCCAATCTAAAGAGCATTTTTTACTAGTAATAATCCCAATGATTTTAGAAACAGTTTGAGAAGTTACCTGTTTTTCATCCCCAAAGGAACTTGGCTCATGTGGTTATAAGTTTATCAAAATAATGTAAGATCCCAAAATAGGTGCATTTAATTCAAGTTCAAATCTGAAATTATTTTGTGAAAAAATACAGTTTTGTAATAAGAGAAAAAAGTTCCTTCATAGCTTTACTAAGTATTCAGCAAATTATTTAATCCACTGTATGTTTGTAATACACTCATACGTGTGTAAGTGTACTCGGTTTGCATGGCAAGATTTTGATAGCTGGGCTGCTTAACTGAGATGCTGCTAGAAGATTGCCCCCTTTCTCCTATGTTCAATGCCAGATACTCCAAGATGGACATGCTTCTGGCCAAAGTTGATCCCATGGTGATGGTAGTGCCTCTGGGATAGCAGATTTAAGAAGAGGAAAGAAGATAATGCACAGGAACAATTTCAGACAGGGTACAAGTGAGTGAGAATGTGTGAACAACACAAATCTGCGCCCAGGTCAGTGGAGAAGGAAGGGGAGGAGGTGTTCCAGGCACCAGAGCAGAGACTCCTCTGCAGCTGGTAAGGAAGACCATGGTATGGCCAGCTGTCCATGGAGGTCCATACTGGAGCAGGGATCCACCGGTACCCCTGGGTAACTCCTCATTGGAACATAGTGGGACTGTGACTCACTGGGAACCCTGCACTGCACCAAGCTCCTAGAAGGACCTGTGGTTCTGTGGAGAGAGGAGTCCAAGTGGAGCAGGTTTGCTGGCAGGACTTTTGACTCCATGGAGGACCCATGCTGGAGCAGTCTGCTCCTGAGGAACGGCACCCCAAGGAAGGGACCCAAGCTGCAGCAGCTCATGAAGAACTGCAGCCCATGGGAAGGAGTCATGTTGTAGAAAGTTGTGGAGAATTGTCTCCTATGGGAGGAACCCCACAGTGGAGTAGGAGAAGAGTGTGAGAAGTCCTCCCACTGAGGAGAAATGAGTGTCAGAGACAACGTGAGGAACTGACCACAGCCCCCATTCCCATCTCTCTGCACCATGTGGTGGTAGAGATAGAGAATTCGGGAGTGAAGTTGAGCCTAGGAAAAAGGAAGGGGTGAGAGAAAGGGGGTTTTAAGATTTGATTTTATTTCTGATTATTCTACTCTGGTTTGATGGGTAATAAATTAATTGCCACAAGTTGAGTCTATTTTACCAATCATGGTAATTGATGAGTGATCTCTCCCTGTCCTTATCTTGACCCACAAGCCTTTCCTTTTATCTTCTCTCTTTCCCCTCCCCTGCTGAGGAGTGGAGTGATAGGGCAGCTTTGCTGGGCACCAGGCATCCAGCCAGCATCAAACCACCAGAGTAGTAAGAGGAAAATGCTTATTTTCTTTCCTTTTCTTTTTTTTTTTTTTTTTTTTTAATGCAACTCTGGCCCTCTTTGATACATATGTTGCTTCTATTCTGTGCCTTTTATATCAACTCTTGTGTGCTGCTACTCTGTCACCCTTAAAAAAGAAAACAATGGGGAAATGGGGAACTAGTGATCAAAGAAAAGTATGACATGAAACTTTGATATATATACTTATTTGAAAAGCTATTAAGTATTCTGTGAAAAATATTTAGTATTTACTCTGTTTTGGTGAAATTCAGTTTTAAGGATCATGTTCCAAAACATAAATCTCATCACGGTAACAGATAGACCATAAAGTATCGCACAGGATAGGTGTGTATCCTGACAAGGGTTAGTGAAACACTGGGGAATGCTAGTGCTTAGTTCACATTGTGTAAGCATTTTGTAACACATCTGTAAGAGTTTTGTCAGTGTTAAAGCATGTAAACCTGATTTTTAGAGAATTAGCAGGGAACATACTGAGAACAGTTTGTTCATGGCTGTGGAATTCAGTTTCATTGTTTGCAGACCTCAGTTGTGCTCCTTGGTTTCATGTTCATTCACAGACCTCATGTTCTGTGAATTCTCCACAAACATTGCTGATTAAATAAGAAGTATCTGTGAGCTTGCTTTTCAATTTCAAGTCAGGTTTTGAAGTCCATGTGTTTAGCTGTCTGTTGTCTCCTTGTGTACTCAACCAGTGCAGAAGTGAAGATTTATTGTGAAAAGTAAATGTTTGTTTCTGTGCACTATACTTTTGGCACTGAAGGAAAGGCAGGCTTACCCAGCCCTGTCTCACTGGTACAATCAGTATGAGTAGGCTTGCACAGGCTGTGGGTTTATTTTAATGTTTTTAGTATCTATCTACTAAAGATACATAGAATGAAAAAATTTTACAGAGGTAGCAAGAAACTAACTTTCTTCCTTTCTTCTCTCTGTAGTTTGTTGCTCAGCCCAACTGCCAGCAGCTGCTCGCATCCCGCTGGTACGACGAGTTCCCTGGATGGCGGAGGCGACACTGGGCAGTGAAGATGTTGACATGTGTTGTGATAGGACTCCTTTTCCCAGTCTTCTCTGTGTGCTACCTGATAGCTCCCAAAAGCCCATTGGGGCTGTTCATCAGAAAGCCATTTATCAAATTTATCTGCCATACAGCATCATACTTGACTTTTCTGTTCCTGCTGTTGCTCGCCTCTCAGCACATCGACAGGTCAGACCTCAGCATGCAGGGACCCCCTCCAACCATCGTCGAGTGGATGATTTTACCGTGGGTCCTGGGTAAATGTATTACTAAAGAAAATACAGTGAAAAGTGTTTTGAGCACTGTGGTTTTGCCAGGCATCCCGGGGCAGGATACAGCAGAGTTCTGTCATGAATTATGGACTTACCAAAGCAGGCAGATGCTCCAGCTCCTCCAGTGCTTAGCAAGAGTAGGTGACAATGTAGATATACAGCAGAGTATGAAAATCCAAAGTGTCACCATCTGATAGATTACAGTGAGGAAAAACAAAAGATATCAAGGATTCCTTCCTACAATTACTCAGTGCCATGAAACATACATTATTTTTCTTTTTAATATCTATTTTCTCCAGACCAGAAATTGTTCCGGTTCTTGTGTCTATTTTTTTAATCTCCTAATCTACTTTTAAAAAGAATCCCTTTGCTACAAGAATTATTTTTTCATGTAGGGAAATGAGGCATAATACAATTTCTGTAGTGTTATTACTAACCTTATTTACCTATAGTATGCTTCTTTCTAAATTACAGATGCACCTATTGCAAATAGTGATGATCAGCATTTTCAAAGGAGTATTTTCATTAAAATATGTACACAGAGTATTTTTTCAGTGCAAGAGCTTGTCACTCTATTCAAACCAAATATCCTATATCAGGAAGAATAGGAAAATTCCGTAGCATTTTTAAAATAGAAAAAAGACCCCTTACCTCTCTATCCTCATAGTTTAAAATAAAAATTTTAGTCTGGGATTATTGAAAGCCTACTTTGTGTGGCCCATGTCATCCTTAAACATGATCCTTCCTTTTGTCCAAAATAAAATTATAGAAGGAGGGACTTAGTAGTCTTGACTGCAAGAATTTAGGTTTGATATATTCATTAAAATTGTCATCACATAGACAGGTACCTGCACAAAAATTTCTGAAACTTTGGTTGTAATTTTGATACCATTACTTCTCCCAGAGCTTCTCATTAAGATATTGTATCTGCCATTTTTCCCAAACATGTGGGTTTCTTCAAGGCAATGTAACTGTCAAGGCTTTTGGTCCCATTGATCCTATATCATGTACTACACAGTGTTGAATTTGTAATACACTGGTTGGCTGTGCCTGATGTTCTGGAGAACAATAATTCAGTGGCTTTTCCTCTGTATGTACCTTGGAGGAGCACTGTGGGAAGCAGAAAGCAGTTGTACACCTGCTTTTCATTTATAAAAACAAGCGGGCATGACTGAAAACCTGTCCACACTTATTTGTCAGGTACCTGTCAGAAGGACCTGCCTTCCACAGGTGAACTGCTTTCTGGGATTTCCCCCATGGTAGCACAGCAGTGCTCACCACCAGCCTTCACTGTGAGGTGTGTTTTCCTTGTCTGGGTAAAGTCAAATGTATTTTTAATACTTTAAAGAAAGCCAAAATCTGAGATTATTGAAAGAAATTATTCAATCTGGGAGGTTGTCTAGACTGGTACTTCTTACAGACAAGTCAGACTAATTTCTGTAAGCAAGATTCACATTTAAATATTAAAAGAAAAATTTCCCACAGTTAATTTTCCCACTTTTTTACCATCAAAAAATTATAAACTAATATAAAGCCTATTATCTTTATATATTACCTCCTTAGAAATAAATGCTACAATGCTGAGGAGGAGCAGGAGACTCTTCAGTGCTGTGCCATGCCCAGAGGAGATATTAGTATCTTTTCTCTCTGGCCTTCCAAAGTAGCAGGTGGTCAGTATCTATTCAGCTTTCACAGTATCCTGAGGCTAAAGGATAAAAAGAACAAATGCACAGCTAACACGTAGACCTTGACATGCCTAAGTGGATTTTGTCATTAACCTGTCTTTTAGTAGAGCTGAAAGAAAGAGGCACAATTTGAGAAGGGCAAGAGCTAGTTTCTGTAGTAAAGGCAATTCAAAAATTTTAGTGACCAGCTCCTTTCCAGAAAACACTCAGTGGGAAGAGGAAGAACCTCTAATGCCCTCAACCTCTGACACAGTTGTTTACTTAGGAAGATGTTTAAGTAACTCAGCATGCCAAAGCACTTGTTTGAAGAAGCCATTAACCCCGAGAATTATGGTGTTTAAGATGACTATCACTTCTAAAAGCAACATTAATATTTTCAGTATAGACTCATATGGCTGGATTATGCCTGTGCTGAACAAGCCCTTCATCTGCAAGCAGTACAGGTCAGTCAAGGGAGCCACTTCCATAAACAAAAGTTCATGAGCATGGATGAAGATCAATAAATTAACATCATTGGTTAAATAGCTTGTAGTCAGTCAGTCTAGACTGTGCTGTTCAGAAAAGCCGTGCCTTCCAAAATCTCTTGCATCCAAATTGATGCATTTTGCACACTGATCTCGTGTTCCCTAACTAGCAGTTTCCGGTTCCAGTTTCACATTTTCTATGTTCAGCTTTCAGGCTTTGGTTGCTGTAGTGCCTTAGCCCAGCCAAATAATGAGGCCTGAGATTCACCCATCATAATTGAAGGCAATTCATTTGCTACCTGATTTCCCCGTACCACAGAAGGAGACACACATCTCCACAGGACGTTCCAGCTCACAGCATGGGATGAACATGTCTATTTCAGCTTTTTTGTTTGTATATTTAGGCCTTTTTCATGTCGTGTTTTTCTGTTTGGTTGCTTTTTGTTGAGGGGGTTGTTTTTGTTCATTTTGTTTTGATGGGTTTTTGTTTGGTTGTTTTTTTTCAGTGGTGGTGGTTGTTTTTCTAAAGGAATGAATCTCAGTCAAGCCCTGCTCTTTTCCGATTCACATACATCGAACTGTAGTCTAGTCATCTTTTAATAAACTTAATATTTTTCTTAAGTCCTTATCAATAAGCTAAGGTTTGTTTCCAGGCTGCAGTTTAGTTTGTTGTCTCATCTCTTTAAACCATAAAATTGTGCAGTAGCCTTAAAGAGAGTAAATGAAGCACTCTAAAATTTTTGTTATTTAAGTCAAAACTAGTGTGGCTCTAGGGTTATAGTTCTTCTCTGAAACCTGCAACATGACCAAGTAAATACTTCCACAGGAAAGGATATCCTGGAGCAGCAACTGCATGTCAAAACTATTAATATTTTGAACAATAGAATTTTTTTGGTTTTTTGTAGTTCAAATAGCTCTGGTTGTAATTTGCATTTTAATGCAATCTCTCTTATTATTCAGAGAGGAAGAAGAGCTCACTGTTGCAAGTTTCTCGTCGACACGAACTTCAGGACACAAATATTTCATGCAACTTAAGAAGTTTCAAGACTGTCCATAGTAACCTAAGCTCTCTAGTGAGCAAATAGTAATTAGCATTTGCCAACTACTATGTAATAGAAGGCTGAATGTGCATAATTAGCACATAATTAAAAGTGTCGCTAGAGTAGGAGGCTCACAGGAGAAACTTGTATTGGCCTACATTTCCATGGAGACTATCAACTTTACATTTTAAAAGTCTCTTGAGGAAACTTCTGCATTAATTTTGTCTTTACATGATTAGATGATTACACAAGTGGTGCTCCAGTATGTGGTGATTATCTGTGGAACAGTAAGTCAGTGTTACAAGCTGTCATAACCTTAAGAAGTAGTTGTGGAAAAATTTCTCAGTAAGAAGAGTCAGAATCTCCTGTCCTTGCACTTAAACAAATAGCAAACAAGCTTTGGCTCATAAAGAAAATTAATTGTCGTCTTATTACTGGCTGTTGGTTCACACTACAGAAACATAGACCTATTTATTATACTTGAGAATCCATCACCATTGAAAAATGATCAGGAAAACCAAGAATATCATCTTGGGAAAAAAAGAAGGAGGAACAGCTTTTTCTATCATCATATTCCCCATTCAGTTGCTGTGTCCTCTGAGCATGATAGCAGTGATTCAGAGGGGAAATCCAACAAGACCCTACTTCACCCTCTGTGTGCCTTGACTGCAGCTCATGTAAGGATGTACATTTGTCATAGCTGTTCTTCTGCCCTAAACCATGGCCTCAAACCTAACAGTGGCTGTACTAAGTGTCCTCACAGTGGCCATTTGCTTCACCAGCAAGTGCTATGAAATTCAGAGGAGAAAGGCATCAACCAGAAAAATTTAATGTTCAGTAGTTGTGGTTAAAAAGCTCCCTGCCAGTTTTTCAGGGTGACTTTAGCAAAGGAGATTTTTTTTAGAGAAATTATTTGGATGAGTTTTTTGCTCTTTTATGGTCATATTTAAATGTTCATTTTAATTGCATTGTTCAAAAGCCTGCCTGGAGCAGGAATACAGCCTTACTGTATCTCTTGAACAACATGTTCCCCATCCTTTCTGTCAGAATTGTTTATACTATTGGAGTACATGAATCTATAGAGAATGTGGATATTTGGGAACTGTGCAAAATTGCAAACACTTGTGGTTAGCAAACTGCTGGCGGGACGTACAGTCTTGTCTGTCCTTAGCACAATGTGCATCCAAACTGATGGTAAGCAAGACACTTCAGAATAATTGATCATAGAGGGGGCAAGTACAGTGTGCATCATCTTCTAAATTAGGTCAAGAAAGTGTTGTGTAAAAAATTAAACATTTAGTATGAACTGACATGTTTCAGGGAGCAGATATAGAGGGTAATATGGCTGGCAAGATGAAACAGTACATAACCAATAGTGACATATATAGCACAGAGGAGAAAAACAACCCCAGACAAAGCAGAACACAACTTTTTTTCAAGGAAGGATAATGCACATAATGACCGCAAAAGGCCATTAAGTCCAAACTACTGCTAAACACAGGCTAACTGCAAAGACAGGTCACATTGTTCAGGTTCCTGTGCAGTCAGATTTTAATTTCCCCAAGGATGAATATTTAACAGCCTTTCTCTCACAGTGCCTGTGTCTAGCAACTGGTAAACTTTTTTCCTGATACTAGTAGCAATATCCCATGTCACAACATGCAACCATTATCTCTCAGCCTTCCAATGTGCACCTCTAGAACAAGTCTGGCTCCAGCTCTGTGGAACCAGCTATTTCAATAGTGGATGACAACAGCATTACAGAGTCACAGAACTTTCTGAGTTGGAAGGGACCC